GAATATACCATGGACTGCTAGGAGAACAAACAGGTGTGTCCTGGAGAGGGTGGAGCCAGAATGCTCCTTGGAGTCAAGGATTCTGAGGCTTTGTCTGAAATACTTTGGGCATGTTGCAAGGAGGGACTGGTCCTTGGAGAGGAACATAATGTTTGGCAGAGTGGAGGGGCTGTGAAGCAGGAAGACCTTCTATGAGATGGACCGATTTTGTGACTGGAGTGGTGGGAATGAGTGTTTTTGAGATGGCTAGGTTGGCACAGGATAGAATGGCATTTAGAGCTCTTGTACATAGGGTCACTATGAGTCCAAGCGACTTGCTGGCACATAACAGCAACCAACAACAATATTGCTGAAATATTTTTTAAAAAGCATATAGCCTCTTCAGATTATTATGAAATAGTTGTGGTCTATCAACACAGGGTGTCTTAGGGTCATCCAGAAATCCCTGGACAACAATGAGAACAGCTGATCTAATTGTCTTTCAACTATGTGAATGGCATCTTCTAAGGATAAATAATTAATTACTGCTCAAAATATAAGAGAAAGATTTAACAACATCTTGATTATCTCTTTGAATGTTAAGAGAAATATTAATTAACAGAAGAGAATTGTATTTATGCATCCAGGTGATTTCTGATTAGTCATTTCATCTGGTTATGTGAATGACAGAATCCATGGATGGTTCATGTGATGAAGTGTCAACTATTAGTTGAAGACTGGACATTTGAACTGGGCCAGGGGTGTCATGAAGACTGATCTGGCCATCTTCTTGCTTTAGAACTCTGTGGAGTTCAGTTCTGCCATGTAACACTAGGGCTTCTCATATGGGCAACTAACAAGATTGTGAGCTGTGTTATGCTGGGATTTCTGGATACATCTCCACACACACAGACTCATTCTTATTCCCCACTGTATTTCCTTGCTCATGCTCCAGGATGAACTAAATTTTCTCCAGGGATTAATAAATTTGTCCTTCTTGTTGAACTAATCCACCACCTTAACTCTTCACAAATGGCACACATTAAGATTCTTAATTTTCTACCCCTGTCTTTCCCTGAAAAAAAGACAACATGTTTGGTAAAGTAGAGGGCAGGTAAAAGAGAGGAAGACCCTCTACAAGATGGATTGACACAGAGACTACAACAATTAGCTCAAACATAGCAGTGGTTGTGACTATGGTGCAGGACTGGATAGTTCAGTTGTACAAGGGATTGCTATTAGTGGGAACTGAGTTGACAGGACCCAACAACAACAACAACAAAACCAAAGGATTCCTGGTGAAGCAGCACTTAAGACCTTAGCTTCCAAACTTAAGGTCAGGTATTTGAACCCACCAGCAGTGCCATGACAGAAATCCCAGGCAGTCTGCTTCTATAAAGATTACTCCCTTGGAAATCTGATGGGACAGTTCTACTCTGTCCTATGAAGTCATTATGACTTGGAATTGACTCCATGAAAATAGGTAGGTTCTATCTAAATATCTACTGAAGAAAGACAACTAAAAAGTCAAGATTCTTTTCAGACATAGAAAAGAATGCCTTACCTTGAATGCAAAAAAGTGGTCCGTGTACTTCTCTCCAAAGACAAATGAAGCTCCCACATCAGTGTACGCCAGGAAAGTCTGAGCCCAGGAATGATAAAGAGCAGATTAGTAAAATCAATGCGTCATGGCTACTGCCCTCAGGACTCCTGAGGCTCAGGAAAGGGTAGAGATGCTGCCAGCTGGCTGGATAGATGCAGAAGTTCATTTACTCAGGATAGATCATAGAGGTATCCTATTAAGAAACCTGTATAGGGTGTCCTGTCATTTCTGACTCTGTATTTGACTCTAAGCTGCTAGTGAATGATCCCATTGTAGCAATCTGCTCCTGTAAGTCACAGATGGCACATGAGCACACCAGTTACCAGGAGTTGCCAGGAAAACCTATATCTGTATCCTCCACTACCTGAAGGGGTGATGTCCTTGCATATGATGGAGGGGAGAACAGGGATAGGATTGATGTATTAGACAATATGGTGAGGAACAGCAATAATATTGCTAAATTAAACAAATCTATACATTCTGTATCAGTGAATTTTTTTGGCTAGCTCATGCCACATTATTAAAATTTAGGTTGACTAAAGGAGACAAATAAACCTATTGCTCACAGGCTGAGAATGGCATCCAAAGGTAAAAAATACCATTTAAAACAAAATGTTCTTTTGGATCAGACTTACCTGAACTTGTTGGCCCAACCATTCAAAAGCTACAAAACCAGGTTTTGTCCTTAGAATTAAGAGCCCCAAAAGGAACTGTAATCCAATTCCCCAAAAGACAGGTCTCCAGCAAACCTAGAGGAAGAGCAAGCGGTAGATCTTACATTAGGAAAATCAGTGCTCAGTGTGGCATTAAGTAACTAAAAGATACTATTTTCTTGAAGGCAGTTGTGGAGCCTGTAGCATTCTTAGATGTAGCTTGCAACCCACTTTCTCTGGAAAGCTGAAGTGTCAGAAGTAGAAAATCCTAGGGTTGTTGTTAGGTACCACTGAGTTGAGTATGACTCATAGGAACCCTATAAACAACAGATCTGAACCCTGTCCCATCCTGTGTCATTCTCACAGTCTCTGACATACTCAAGTATACTACTGTAGTCACTGTGTTAATCCACCTGGTTGAGTCTTCTCTCCTCTGCTATGCCCCCACTTTTCTAATCATGATGTCCTCCTTCAAGGAATAGCCTTTCCTAGCAACATGTTTAAAGGGTGTGAGATAAAGCTTGACCATCTTTGCTTCTAAGGAGCAATCTGGCTTCACCTTCTCGAAGACATATCTGTTGTTCTTTTGGCAGTCCTTGGGCTATTCAGCACTCTCTTCCAACAGCACAGTTCAAATGCATCATATTTTCTTCTGTCATCGTTACTCATTGTCCAACTCTCAGTAGCATAGTATGTGATGGAAAAGACCATGGCCTGAATTAGGCACACCTTAGTTCTCAAACTAACATTATTGATCTTCAATAACTTGAAGAGATCCCTGACTACAGACTTCCCCAGTGCAATGTGTCTCCTGACCTCCTGACTGCTGGTTCCAAGTGTACTGACTATGGATTCAAGTAAGATGAAATTGTTGATAGTTTCCATTCCCCCGCCTCCCTCCATTTATTATAATGCTGCCTATTGGTCCAGTGGTGAGAATTTATATTGATAGCTGCAGTGTTTGATCATCTGCAGCAAATGTTTCAAGCCCTCCTCACTTTCAGCAAGCAAGGTTGTGACATTTGCACACCAAAGGTTACTGATAAGCCTTTCTCCAATCCTGATGCCACATTATTTTTCATTGAATCCAGCTTATGAATAATTTGTTCAGCATACAGATGGAATAGGTATGGAGAAAGGATATAACCCTGACATACACCTTTCTTGATTTTAAATCATGTAGTATTTCCCTGCTGTGTTTGCACAACAGCTTATTGGTCTAGGTGTAGGTTTCATTTGAACACAATTAAGTGTTCTGAAGTTCCTATTCTTCTCAGTGTTACCCATAACTTGTTATGATCCACACAAATGATTTGCAGAGTTAACAAAGCACAAATAAACATTCTTGTTATTCTCTGCTCTCAGCCAGGATCCATCTGATATTTGCAATGATATCCCTGGAGCCATGACATCTTCTGAATCCAGCCTGAACTTCTGGAATTTTCCTGTTTAGGTACTATTCTAGACATCTGTGAATGATCTTCAGCAGTATTTTGCTTGCATGGGATTTTTTAAAAAAAAATTCATTTTTTAAAATTCATCTTAATGAAAGTTTACAGAGACTTTGGATTTCCATTGATTCATTGTTGCACTTTTCTCCCTGCCCAACTTTCCCTATGCACAAAATATCTGAAGACTTTCTATAACTATCATTGTTTCTCAAAGTTCACAGAGTTTTCAGAGGCATGTTACTTAGGAAGTAGACGTCACTCTTGCTTTCTGTAAATAATAGATTCAAGTAATTATTTCTGGAAAAGGTAGAGACAAAAAGTGATTTCTCTTCATGTCCAAAGACTGATGATCAGATAATTTGTAAGCAAACTTCAATCCTGTTCAGTGGCTTTCATTTTAGCAAAAGGAGCCAATTAAAAGATGCAGATCCAGATCTCATTGTTGGTGATTAGATGAGTGATCCGCAAATGACTATGGGATTGAGAAACAGAAACAACTGAGAAGAGTAAAGAATTTGAATCATATTCATTGACTATGGTCTTCCAATTTTCCAATTGGGATAATTTTCTAATTGGGTTAGTCTTTCAACCTATAAAAATAAAGATTTTCCTATTGTTGAGTCATTTGTAAAATTTTCAGTGCCTCAGAATTTTTGCCTATCTAGATAGCTGGATAAAGACTCAAAGAACAAGGATGAGAATTGAATTTAATGTGAACAAAGTTACTAAATAACATTGTAGATAAATATTTGGAGTAAAACATTCTGTACTGAAAAATAGAAATCTAATAAATTCAATATTGTTGTTGCTGTTTATTGCTATCAAGTCAAGCACAACTCATAGCAACCCTATGAATGAAAGGCCTGAAGCCTTTCTATAACAATTATAATTTATCAAAGTTCAGAGTTTCCAGAGGCATGTTGTTTAGGAAGTGGAAGCCACTCCTGCTTCCAAACCTATCTTAAACTGGGAGCTCCACCAAAAACTGCCCACAATGGTTAACTGTTATGGCATTTGACACTGTTATGGCCCACTGTTCAGCATCACAGCAACCCCAGGTTACCTCAGTATAGCATATTGACAGAAGAGTTCTATACCATTTGGAAGAATGTTTCTCCAAAATATAATAACTAACTTTTAAATACAAAGGCCCTCCATGAAGCCTTGTTGACTCTAAACAATAGGTTTAAATTAAAAAAAAAAAAACACCAACCACAAACCAACATAGTATGTTGTTGTTTTTATGTGCTGTTGAGTCGCCTGCGATGTATAGTGATCCTATGTACAGCAGCTATGAACCATTTCCTGTCCTGAGCCAGTCTCACTAATTCCAACACACCAACCCCTATTGCCCCAGTTACTCTATCAATCCATTTCATCCGGGGGGGGGGTCTTCCTCTCCTGTGCTGTCATTCCACCTTTCCGAGCATGATGTCCTTCTCCAAGGACCAATCTCTCCTGGCCATGTGCCCAAAGAATTCAAAATCTAGCCTCCAAAGAGACTTATTTTCACCCTCTCCAAGACAGACCTCTTTGTTTTATTGGCAGTCCAGGGTATATTCAAAACTCTTCATCAGTGCCACAACTTGAAAGCATCTATTCTTTTTCTGTCATCCTTAGTCATTGTCCAGCTCTCTGAAGCATAACAAGTAATTGAGAAGATTATGACCTGGACTATCTCTAGACTGACATTGTTGCTTTTCAACACTCTGGAGAGTTTATGAGAGCAGATTTTCTCAATGCAACTTGCCTTTTGATTTCCTGACTACTGGTGTTAAGAGTGTTGACTGTGGATCTGAGCAAGCTGTAATTGCTAATAATCTCAATCTCTTCTCCTTCTGTCGGGGTACTGCCGATTGGCCCACTGGTGAGAATCTTTGTCTTCTTGATGCTAAGCTTCAATCCATATTGAAGACTACGGTCCTTGACCTTCTGCAGCAAGCGCTTCAGGCCTTCTTCAGTTTCAGCAAGCAAGGTTGTATCATCTGCATATCATAGGTTCCTCAAATCTTGATGCCGGTTTTTTGTTATGTTTCTAAGTATATGTTTGATAGAAAGTATGAGACATGAGTGGAAATTGACGTTGACAGGGAAGGAACTTCTTACTAATTGTCTCATTATGAAATTAATGGGAATGAAAAATGTTAAATTTTGAGAATTACAGATAATACTTTGAAAGTCTGGGAAGATTGGCACCCTTATTCACTCACTCATTACTATCAAGTAAGAACTGCCTCATAGCTGACTCTCTAATGGATTTCCAAGGTTGATACTCTAGTCACTTTAAATATCTTAACATTTAATTTCATTTAACATTTTTAAAAATGAGTACTTTCAATGCTCCAGCACAAAGCCCAACCTGTTTCTGTGTTTGTTTGTTTTCTTTTACAAACTAAGCACTTCTCGTGAAAAAACACAACAGCCAAAAAACTCCAGATAACACAAGAAGGTGTATATATGAAGAATGTGACATCAGGATTAGAAGAAGACTCATCAACCTATGCCAATGAAAAGGAAGAAGAATTGAAATATTTACTGAAGAATATTGAAGTCTTCAGAAAGGGGCTCTGGTGGTCCAACAGTAAGGAGTTTTGATGCTAACCCAAAGGCAAACCACCAAAGATGGTATAAATCCACAAACTGCTCCTCAGAAGAAAGATAAGCAATCTCCTCTCATGTGATTTACTGTCTCTGAAAATCCATTGGAGGGTCAACTGTGAGTTGGTCCAACTCAATGGCACATAACAACAACAGCAAACAATGATGTAGTCTTCAATATGGATTATATTTTGACATCAAGGAAAGAAAAATCCTCATCACTGGATCAATATGCAACAACACAAAAAACTGGAGACAAGATTGGCATTATCAATGATTTCCTGTTATTTAAATCCACAAGCTGCATTCATGGAAGCAAGAGTTAAGAACTGAAATGGTATACTGCATTGAGCAAAGCTACTACAAAACCTCTTTAAAGAAAAAGCAAAGATGTCACCCTGAGCACAAAGGTATGTCTGAACCAAGCTAGGGAATATACAGTTACTTCATAGGCATTTGAAATCTGGACAATGAATAATGAAGACTTACGAAGAATTGGTAAAGAATACTGAATATACCAGGAGTACTCCTTAGAAGAGAGAAGGATGAGACTTCATCTTATATTTTTAGCACATCAGGAGAGATTAATTCCTGGAGAAGGACATCATCCTTGGTAAAGTACAGGGTCAGTGATGAATAAGGAAAACCCTTAATGAGAAGATATGACACACTGGTTACAACAGTGGGCTCAAGAACAGCAGTGATTGTGTGAATGGTGCAGGACCAGGCAACATTACATCTTGTTATACACAAGATCTCTATGAGTCAGAATTCTCTTGAAGGTATCTAGCAACAATAAAAACAAAATAAAAAACAAAGTAATGATAATATTGAATGATAATTATCTCACTATCATTGTTTGGATAAATTATAAGGGGAAATGGGGAAAGAAAAATGAACAAACTTAACAAAGGCCAGTTTCTCACTTACTCTGGTTGGATGCTTGGAAAATAGAAATGTCAGGAGAATGTACATTATAAGACCACCAAAGGACACCAGCTGTTGTTGGCCTAATTTGGCTGTGTCAAAGATCAGCCAGAAAATAATCCCCAGTATTAAGGCACTCCAAACCACCCTAAGGGAACAGAAAGGGAGACAGTGTCAGCATTTGTTATATTAATGTGAAAAACAAACAAAATAACTATTATCAAGCTAAAGCTAATAGATACGATTACGCTTAAGAGTAACACAACCTGGCACTAGGAAGTTGTACTTCTAGAATTCACAATTGATCCTCTTTCGCTGTGGTATACAGTCAGAGTTAAGCAATGTGTTTCCCTTGTCCCACCACTTGATTTACCCCCCCTCCTTTTCTCTTACACCATAGGGAATTCATCTAGTTGTACTCTACTTTCTAACTGCTATCTAAGTTTGGATCATGAATATTTGACTCAAAGACAGATCAATTGACATTTAAAATATTTCTACAAGTTACTACATAACCTGAATGAAAGAATAAATCACAAAGATTGATAAACTTGATTAAAGATCTTGTTTACATCAAAAAAAGCTTAACTATAAAACCCAGCAAAAAAAATACAGAAGAGGATGAAATAATTTTCTTTTAGCGACAAGGAACAGGAGATATTTCACTCCATAGGTAGATTCAGAAGGTAGATGGCTCCCCAAATAAATGTTCAATGAGCTTTGGACCCCTCAGCTGGCCTTGATTTCTTGTTTGTAAAGTGAAGACATGAAAATAGAATGTTCCCTAGGTTGTTTCATAGATGGAGAAGCAGATTAAGACCATATTTTTGCAACAGTATTGGAAAAGAATGCCTCTTTACTGGAATGAGAGAATCAATTGCATTTACCACTTGAGCCAGAACCAATGGTTATTCAGGAACCTTCTTCCGGGAGACAGGAACTCATCAATTCGATCTTCGTATTTAGCCATCAAATAATCCCAGGCAAGAAAGAAGATGACCACTATGGTGATCACAAAAAGAGGCAGGGCTCTTTGGAAGTTCAGCACACAAGCTGCAATCACTACAGCCAGGTACCCTGTCCAAGAAGCAAAAACAGCCAGACATCACCAATACAGCCTGAGGCCCAGCATACGGATACTGATGAGGCTCAATATGAGGAAAGAAACTATTGAGTGCAAGTGTGTTTTTGATAGGGTTGTTAGTGTTTCTGATTTTAAGGATTGAGTTTTGAGTGTATGTATGTTTGTAATTCTCACTATGAATAGTAAGAAGACAGTAGGCTTGGCCTTTTTTCTTAGATAACTGTCTGGATTTTTGAGTCTTGATGCTTGGTTACTTGGTCTGGCATTCAGGCCCAGCCAGTAAACTAGTGTTAGAGAAGGACCAAGTGTTAAAGTAACCACCAACCAAGAGGGATTGTTTCTCCTGACTTATGACCCTGATTTATCCTATACTTGAATAGGATAATAGATCCACCACTGAGAGTCTCAACTTGCCAAAGCAACACCAAGGGAAAGGAATAGGAACAATTAGCAAGGTAGATATATTAAAAGAATAGGTAAGAAGGTCTCTTTAATGGTGTTGACATTTAAAATAGTAAACTAATATTTGTTATTGTTGTTGTTATGTGTTATCGAGTCACCTATGACTCATAGCAACGCTATGTACAATAGTCCTAAATCCTGCTCTATCCCTTGCCAATCTTATTGTCTCAGACATGCCTATCCTCATTACCCCAGTGACTAAATCTGTCCATCCCATTGAAGGTCTTCCTCTCCCGTGCTTTCCCTCCACCCTCCCAAGCAAGATGATCCCACCTTGCAACATGTTTGTCAGATGAAGCTTCAGAATCCTTGCCTCCAAGGAGCAGACTGACTTTACCCTCTCAAGGATGAACTTGTTTGTTCTCATAGCAGTCCATAGTATATTCAATACTCTTCTCCAGCCCCACAGCTCAAAGGCATCAAATCTTCTTTTATCATCCCTAGTCATTGTTCAGCTCTCTGATGCACAACACATAATTGCAAAGACCATGGCCTATATCAAGTGCACCTTAGTCTCCAGACTGACATTGTTGCTCTTCAGTACTTTGGAGAGGTCTTTAACAGCAGATTTTCCCAATGCAATTTGTCTTCTAATTTCCTGGCTGCTGGTATCAAGAGTGTTGATTGTAGAGCCAAGCAAGCTGAAGCTGTCAACAATCTCAATCTCTTTACCAACTAATATTTACATATTAAAATAAGTCACTGATTTAGACTTGTGGTTGGACATGTTTTGTGCCCATTGATAAAATCTGACCTGCCACTTGTCTTTGTAAAAAAAAAAAAATATTGAGTGCAACCACACCCATTAGTTTGTGCATCGGGTTGGATTTATGGTTGCTTTCACCAACAATTGCAGAGTTGGTCAATAAAGCTCAAACAATTATTGTCTGTCTGTCTGCAGAAAAGGTTAGTTAAATCTTACTACTGTTTCTTGCTCCAGATGCCTGAGCATAATCAAAACTAGGAGTCCTGTAAATCTCAACAGTCCTGAATAATGTCTGTGGACTCTGATTGTATTTCCATTTGATAGACACACAACTTTTTGAAAATTGACTCTGGAAGGAATGAAAGACAGTGCTGTTCTGCCTTTAGAGTCATTGAGCGGTGGAAACAATTAATGTTAATATATTTCAGAGACCAACCTAAAGATTGGAGATTTGAGACCAACTAGAGATACTTCAGAAGAACAACTGGTGATCTACTTCCAAAAAATATCAACAAATAAAGACTTTATCAAACACAGTTCTGCTCAGACACATATGGAATCACTCGAGTTGAAGACAAGAGGAGTGACCTGGGTGACATTAGGCTCTTCCATGGGCTGAGTAATGTAGTTGCACAAAATATCAGTAGCCATTTGGGGATCCTTGAGCCATGGCTGCTGGGTCATCCCAGGGGCCAAACAGGACAAGAGTTTGGGACATAGAGATACAAACAGGAGAAAAACTTTCTTGGTTTGCTGCAAGAGGTAGGGCTTATTTGAGATACTCCTATACAAAGTGTTTACATTGGCACCCCTGATTTCATGCCACTCCAAAGATAAAGGAAGACATTAAGTTTCAGGAAATAAAGTGCTGTCAGGTAAGACGCTGTTCTCCAGAGCTTGCACTGTCAGGTGTGTATGGGGAGAAAAGGACTGAAACTTCCTTGGGAAAAGGTCTCCCATTTGCCTTCATGGTTGTGGGGCCATCCCAGGTGCCAAACAGGACAAAAGTTTCAGAAAGAAAGTTAGAAGCAGGAAAAAGACTTTCTCAGCTGTGAGAAAGCAAGCTGACTTAAAACTCCCCTTGACAGAAATTGCTTGAGTGGAGCACCTGGTCTCATCCCACTCAGCCACTCCGTATATGAAGGAGGACAATAAAGATTGGGAGAGGGAACTACAATGAGATGAGATTCCTGAAGAACTGCAATATAGACCAAAGAGAACCTGGAGGACTTTGTTGTTGTTGATTGCCTTCAAGTCTAGTACAACTCATAGTGACCCTATGAACAAAAGTCCTAAAAACCTTTTACAACTATTGACATTTATCAAATTTTAAAGAGTTTCAGGAGGCATGTTATTTAGGAAGTAGATACCACACCTGCTTCCAAACCTGTCATAGTATGTTATTGTTGTTATCTGCCACTGAGTTGCTTGCGATGTATAGCTACCCTATGTACAGTAGCTATGAGCACTTCCCTATCCTAAGCCAGTCACACTAATTCCAACACACCAACCCCTATTGCCCCAGTTACTCTATCAATCCATCTCATCTGGGTTCTTCCTCTCCTGTGCTGTCACTCTACCCTTCCGAGCATGATGTCCTTCTCCAAGGACCAGTCTCTCCTGGCCATGTGCCCAAAGTAAGTGAGACAGAGCTTCAAAATCCTAATATCCAAAGAGAGACTTGGTTTAACCCTCTCCAAAACAGATTGATTTGTTTTATTGGAAGTCCTTGATATTCAAGACTTTTCTTTAGCACAACAATTGGAAGTCATCTATTTTTCTTCTATCATCCTTAGTTGTTGTCCAACTCTGTGAAGCATAACAAGTAATTGAGAAGATGATGGCCTGGATTTGTATCTAGACTGATGTCATTGCTTTTCAGCACTTTGAAGAGGACCATGAGAGCAAACTTTCCCAATGCAATTTGTCTTTTGATTTCCTGACTGCTGGTGTTAAGAGTGTTGATTGTGGATCTGAGCAAGCTGTAATTGCTAACAACTTCAATCTCTTCTCCATTTATTATGGTCCTGCCAATTGGCCCAGTGGTGAGAATGTTTGTCTTCTTGATGCTGAACTAAAATAATATTGAAGATTGTAGTCCTTTATCTTTTGCAGTAAGTGATTCAAGTCTTCTTCAGTTTCAGCAAGAAAGGTTGTGTCATCTGCATATCATAGGTTATTAATGAGTCTTCCTACAATCTACATGTCACACTCATTCTCATAAAGCCCTGCTTCCTGAATGATCTGTTCTGCATAGAGATTGAAAAGGTATGGGGACAGGATGCATCCCTGAAACACTGTTTTCCTGATTTTGAACCATGCAGTATTTCCTTTCTCTGTTCTGAGGACTGCTTCTTGATCTAAGTATAGGTTTCATATAAGCACAAGCAAGTATTCTAGGCTCCCCCCCCCTTCTTTTTTAGGCTCCCATTTTTTTCCAAGGTCAAAGGTAGGTAGTAGCATGAGTGGCTCACCATATAAATTGAATACTTTAAACCAGCAACTAATTAATAACATATCAAAGATAATAATCACCAACAACTTGTGCAGACACAAAAGAAATGGCCTAAAACTTATCAAGAAAAACTTCACACAATGCCAAGAAAACAGCAGACAGCTTCAAACATTGTGAAAAAGCAAAAGAAGCCTTCTTCAAAAAAAAGCAGAGAATATTGCAGAGCTCATGAATACTTAGAATCATGAAGGCAGAAGATATTTGTTGACATTGAGGCATTGGAACAGCTACAAATGAAAGTACAAATGTTAAAGAAACAATGAAAGCCACAAATAAAGGGAATATCCTAGAGGTAGAGAACCAGAAGAAATATACTGATGGAGAGTTATTTGAACAGCTATGGAAGAAGGTATAAATGATGGAAGAAACAATGGAAGCCATTAAGTTAACAAATACTCCAGAAAGAGGGAGCCAGAAGAAATATATTGATCAGGGAACCTGAACAACTACAGAAGAAAATGCAAAAGATGCAAGAAAGATTTTAAACTATAGATAAAGGTGTGTTGCTCTCGTCATTGTTAGGTGCTGTCAAGTTGAGTATAACTCATAGGGACCCTATCAACAAAAGATCTAAACCCTGTTCTACCCTGTGCCATTCTCACATTTCCTGGTACACAAGAGCTCACTGCAGTAGTCATCATGTTAATGCACCTGGTTAAGGGTCTTCCTCTCCTTCGCTAATCCTCCACTCTTTTCAGCATTATGCCCTTCTCCAAGGAATAGCAGTATTCCTAGCAACATAGCTAAAGAGGTACCAAAAAAATTAAAAACAAATCATCACAGGACAGAGAAGGTACAACCAATACAATACTGAAAATAATAGAAATACACAAAAATGCCACCCAGAATATTAAGATCAAAGTGGGAGAAGTGTCCAACCCACTGAATAGACAAAAAAGCAGAACAGAAGAGATGGAAGCAGAGGCTCAGTGAGCTGGAAGACAATAACCTCAAAAGAAACAAGAAAAATCAGAGATGAGACATAGAGAATATAAAGAAACCATTAGAATCATGTGGGATGGAATCAAAAGGAACAACATACATATAATTGGAATTCTAGAGAAAATTGTGAAAGAGTTGTTAGAAGAAAACTTCTCAGGTGTTATGAAGAATGAGGAAATCCATATTCAAGAAGCACAGTGAACACCAAATAGACTTGATCCTAAAACAAAACCATCAAGACATATCGTAGTCAAATTCTCCAAAATAAAAGATGAGGATAGAATACTAAAAGCAGCGCAAGAAAAACAAAGAATCACCCACAAAAAGAATTAGATTTTTAATTTTTTTAGCAGATCATGTGAGCAAGA